ATTGCCTTTATTACCTTTGGCCTTAGCCTTTGGCCTTAGCTTTAAGCTTTTTGCCCTTAAGGAAAGAAAGAAAGGAACTATTTTACAGGAAAGAGGAGAGGTCTATATATAGGCCTTCGTAGGCCTACTGTGGGTCCTGTAGGCCCTGGAAGCCCCTATACCACTTTAGGTATTTAGTGGGCTTAAGTGGGTCTAGTGTAGACTTATAGAAATCTATAGAACCTTCAGTAGCAAAGGTGCCCTGTAAATCACACCATTGTAGCAACTTACTACGTAAGCCTATAGCCACTTTGGAAGGTTCTAGTATCCATTGACTAAGCCTCAGGCCACAGTAGCCCTGTAAGCCTTCAAGGGTCCCTTGTAAAGAATATTCTAAAGGGATCTAAGCCGGGAAGTTCCATTACTGCTTATAGCAGTACTGCCCACTGTAATATCAATCTATAGGGCAGTAAGTAGGGCACTTAGTAGTACCCACACATTAATAACTTTATATATTTAAATATGCTTATTAGATATGTTTATATATAGATTAAAGAAAAAAATAAATAAAAAATAATATTTTATATACCTTATAATTATTTTAAATATTTCGTAATATTATTTAAACTAATTAATATACCCGTAACGTTTTAATCTTTTATTAATTATACGATCCGGAAATACTTTAATAAAGTAATAATATACTATTTTAATTATATTTTTGTTTATTTATGTACTTTAGAGAAGTATAAGCGATACGTATAAGAGATATTTAACGCGCTATACGTATCCGGACTTTTAATTAATAAAGAGAAAAGTAAGTTCTATTTTAAAATATAGCACTTATTTGTGGATTTTACAGTATGTTCTTTCTCGTGGCTTACAGCACTTAAAGGCTTCAAGCCACAGCGCCCATAACGCCCACAGCGGTCACAAGGAACTATAAAGTTTTTATATAAGCTACTGTAGCTAACTAAACCGGTAGAAGTTATGGGGATTAATAAGGAGGAAAAAAAGGTTTTGGATACCTATAAAAGGCTCCCCTCCCAATGTATTTAGAATAATCTTTTTCTTTTTTAAATTTAAGTTAAATAATTAAAATTAATATACTAGTTTACTACACTTTTGTAAAGTATAGTTCCCTATACTTGCCTTCCTTCGGTACTACCTTACACCGTCGTACCTCGTAGTTTAAGAACCCTAGAATCTTTAAGTAATTACTTCCGACTTACTTAGAAGGTATATAACTAGCCTACTAACGATATATCTTAATAGGTTATAAGCCTGGACTTACATTTAAGCTTTAACGAGTTTCTTTATTCTACGTTCCTATAGCGGTTTTTTACCGTAAGCCCTATTCTTATAGGCTATTAAACCCTGGAATTAGAATACTTAGCTCTATATTTATTAACCAACGCCCTACTTTTTAGACCTTCGTTTTCTATAATAAACGAAGAGATAGGGAACGTCCCCCCCCTTCCTAACTTACCTTTAAGTATCGACCCGACCGCTCTAAATTAAATAAATCGCTACCTAATTAAAAACTTACTTTAAAATCTAGTTTAATAAACTTAATAAAAGAAACTAAAAAATAAAGTTATTCGTTAAAAAAA